CATGTTTTGGAGTTTAAAAATGGGAATGTTTATGTTTTGATTCTTACCTCGAGGGATATTGCTCTCCGTTCTCGTTCTTGAAATCCTCCGATTGCAGCTATTGTGTAGCTGCAAAGTAAAATGGTATAAACATGTTAAAATCTCAGGAGAATGAAACATTTTGAATCTGGGTGTGGAAAATTCTATGTAACATGCGCGTTTTAAAATCATGAAATTGACGGTAATGGGTAAAATGAACAATATCGGCTAGCGGGTGGTATTAGAGCTAGATATCGGGTGGTGTACCAATGAAGACATGGGCCTCTCAGGGATGGATTGTGAGATTCAACACTCGAGAGAGCAACGAAACATTTCTTATAAGAATGTGGAAACTTCTTCTTAATAGACGAGTTTTAAAACCGTGAGGCTAATGGGGATACATAACAGGCCAAAATGGACAATATCTGATAGTGGTGGACTTAGACTGTTATAAATGGTATCAGAGCTATACCGAGTAGTTTGCCAACGAGGACGTTGAGCCCTTCAAGGGATGGATTGTGAGGTCTCACTTATAAGGGTGTGGAAACCTCTCCCTAACAAACGCGTTTTAAAACTATGAGGCTAATGGTGATACGTAACGGGTCAAAGCGGACAATATCTAATAATAGTGAACATTGGGTTGTTACAAAAAAATTTAGGAGGATTGAAGTTTGATTCCCATTTTACCAAATTCACGTCAAGAAGCAATGAAAGAGACGCAACGACGACTTACCCGACAAAGAAACCAACGAGGTGCAACAAAAACACCGAAAGTATTACAGCTCCCAACTCTCCGGACAATATCGTTTTAACACCAACCCATGTAGATACGTCGGAACCCAACGCCGAACCAACAAGTGATGATTTAAAACGAGCGAAATTCTCCGAAAAGACACTAAGATAAAACAAGAACCATCAGTAAATCCACCTAAAAAACAGCTTAAGAAAGCAAACAATGGTTCATCAACAAAGAAAAAAGACCTGCAAGCAAGGAGTGACGAAGTTAATACAGCAACAAGTGGCGAAAATGTCACAATTCGTTTCACAAGCTTTGGATAAGCTTTCTGCAAGTAAGAGCCCAACAAAATGGGAGCTACCACCACCTAAACCAACAAACAAAAAGTCAACCAAAATCTATGTCGGATCGATTTTAGTCAAAGTTCTTTTGTTTGTTTGACCTGAAGAGTGCTGAGAGAGAGCTTCAAAGCGTCGACCGGAACAAAAGCTCCGACGAGCGTTTTAGTGAGAAAGGGAGTGAGAATTACGGCTCCTAGAGTGGTGCATACCGTCATTATAATCGATAAAGGAACGTCACCTCGAGCTATTAACGTCACCTGAAAGACTATTTACTATTCAAAAAAGTAATTGATTGTTGGGAGGGAGTTGCACGTTGGTTAATTGAGGAAATCATCATGGGTTTAGTATGGAGCTGGAAACCAAAAAGTAAAATCGCAAGAGTTTATGCTTAAAGTAGATAATATTATATCATTATTGAAAGTCTTAATTACTAACATGATATCAGAGTCATGCTTGTAACTTAGTCATATCAATAGAATCCTCGAATGTCCAACAAAGAAGTTGGGACCTTCGAAAGTGTAGGTAAAAAATGACTCAAGTGTCGATCAAATAGTGTACTTTGTTCAAGGTCTCCAGAGAAAGGAGTCGAGCCTCAATTAAGCAGAGGCGGTTCGAGGGCTCTATGAGCCTTAGGGGAGGTTCTATGGTGTACTTTATTCGAGAGGAGGATTATTGGGAGGGAATCCATGGGTTAATTAAAAGAATGATTATGAATTTATAAATACGAAATAGATCTCGATTGGTTCGAGGCATTTAAGGGTACTTTGTTCGAGGGCTCCAGAGAAAGGAGTCGAACCTTAATTAAGTGGAGGCTATTTAAGGGCGCTTCATAGGCCTTAGGAGAAGCTCTACCGTGTACTTTGTTCGAGAGGAAAATTGTTGAGATAAGTAGAGAATATATCTCCATTGGTACGAGGCAGTCAAAGTATACAATAGATGATAAACTTACCACACTCGAAGCAATCCCTCCAGGACAACATCCGAGCAAGACCAACCCGACGGAAAGCGGCGGCGGAAGCCCAAGATATTTTCCGATGAGAGCTCCGACCACCGGCATAACTGTGAATTGAGCTATACATACATATAATATCTGACCAAAAATCAACCAACCCACAAACTCAAAATCATTCATTAATTCACCAAATATTCCAAAATTCAAAAAATGTTACAAAAACTCACAGAAAGCGGCCTCTGCATGAACAGAGTGAACAAATCCTTGAGCTCCAGAGTGAGTCCCATGGCCAACATAACCAACCCAAGAGCCAAGCTATAAGAACCAGGCCCTCTCCGCACGAACCACGAGAACGTCGACGGTTTCAGGCACGCAACAACGCCACCAGCCGTGATATACAGAGGGAACAGCCCCGCCGCCGTGGACACGAATTTGGCCACAGGGGTTGGTTTCTGCGGCGGCGTTGGAAGAGATGGAAGCTCTGTATTCCGTTGAAGTGATCGGACGGCGAGGTGTCCGGGGGGTTTTGGCTGCCGGAGAAGAGGGGTGAGGGGTCTGTAATGGCGGAGCTTGCGGTGGGTGTGGAGAGATGGGGAAATTAAGGGGGTGAATTGCAGAAAAATAGAAGACATTATGAAGAATTTGGTGTTGGTTTGGTCTCCAAGAAAACAGGGATCAAATAAATAAGCACATTCCTCTCGCAATTTCTGCCAACTGCCCTTACAGCCTTGCCTTCGTAATTAGTACAAAATTATTGGAGGTTACCAATAAGTTAACCACAAATCATTTATTAATTGAATCTTATAATTTAAAAATGCAATTGATTATGTTATAAAATTAGTAGCTACTTTGAGTTAGTTAGGTAGGATTAAGATATGTTTGTTTTTTTTTTCGAGCTCATCCAATCGTTCCAGTTGCATATTGATTGGGTTGGTTCCTAGATTTACGATTTAATTTGAATATATATTTTTAAAATTAATTCAAAATTATTTTAAAAAATTGGACGAAAAATAATAAAAAAATCTAAATAAAATTAATATATATACATATAATTGTGGCAAGCAAAATGTATATTATGAATTTGAGTGAGAGGATCCACTTAGAGTAAGGAAATTCATAAAAGGGCGTGAAAATCGCTCCCTAACGTATTTTAAAATTGCAAATCTGATAATGAAACGTAACGGGCCAAAGCGAACATTATCTACTGACAAGGTCAAATTAGACAATATCTGCTAATGAGGGTATTTGTTCCGACCATGATACGTAATCGGCCAATGCGAACAATATCTACTGAAAATGTCAAAACCAGCCGTTATATATATATATATATATATTTTTTAATAATAATAAATTTCAAGTGGGGTTTAAGCTCCCGTGATGGGGCGAGTGTTTGGGAACGTGTAGAACGTTATTGTCGTTTTCTGGTTTTATTTTTATTTACAAAAACTTTTCCACCGAACACGTATTTTCTAATGTTTTTTTTTTAATAAAAAAATGTGTTTAAATTTTGTACCAAACACCCTACCAACCCCCCTTCTCACGTGATCCACTTGCTTTTATCGTTCTAATAATTGGATTTGGGTAATAGTTTTCAATTTATTTATTTATTATTATTATTTTTTTCTTTTTTGTAGTTTTTTTTTTATTGGTTAAATGTTTGAATGAAATTTTATTTTGATGGTTTGATAAAATTCATAATTTATATGAAATACCTCACCAACCCATTTCTCACATGAGCCATTTCGTTTTATTTTAAATTTTAAATTAGGTTTGATGTTTGGTAGCCAACTTACTGTTTGGAACGTGTATGAGTTAAGTTGGATGAAATTGATTAATGCATGAATACCATATTTACATTTTGTTGTTTATGTCATGTTATGTTGTTCGAGTGAATTTTGTGATGTGTGCACTTCATGTTTTGTTGATTATATTTGCTAGGTTAATACGGTCATGTTTGTGCTTTGTGAGACACCATGATGTCTGATGAACATGAATGAATACCATGAATTTATGTCATGATGAGTATGAAAGTTTTATGTGCATCATCTCATTGAACCATGGTTTTTTATGCGGGTCTCATGTATGTTGTATGTTATATGGCTAAGAATGAGAAATATAAATAGAATTGGAATCCGGAAGGTGTGTATTTCCATTGATATTGATATCCTTTAAATAGAATACAAGCTAGCAACTAACACCTACCAACAACAAAAATATAAACTAATTAAATATTGATAATAAAATAAAATATACTTTAACTCAAATGATAAAGGAAAGAATATTAAGATATAATATCTAAGATATATTCCATAAATAATATATCTCAACACATATGATCATGGATTAGCTTTTCAATTTGTTAGGACACCACATTATTATTCGTGTTTCTTTCTTTTTTATTAGTTTTTTATAGTGTGAACACGTACTAATTCATTGTCAAGTCTAAGGATATGTTAACAAGCTTGCATAGTGTGCGTGAACTGTGAGTAGACATGTACTATGAATCCAACTCTACCGCTCAAACAAATTAGGTCCCACAAATCACAAAACATGTTGTATGTAGTTACATTTTCTGATTTTGATAGTGTGGTAGTATTTTTAAATACTCAGTTTATATTTAACAATTTAAAGTCAAGAATTTGTGTACGTGTGTCGTATTCCAAGTAACTTTTGAAACCTGGTTTAAAATTGCTAATCTCAAAAAATTCACCCAATTAAAAAAAAATTGAGTTGGATAGTCTAGATTAAGAATCATATTAATACCCATAATTATCCATTTTGTTATTTGGGAGGAATGCTATAAACAATATTAACTTGGCCCAAGGAAGACTTAGAAGGTGACAATTGAGAAAGTAATAAAGATAAAACCAACCAGCTCATCCCACATCGGTTGTGCCCACACCACAGTAATCGGAAGTGTCTATAAAAGCAGCGGTGGAATTCATAACAAATCATACCTTTCTCGGCCTTTTGGCTAAGATCAAGTGTAGTATCTGTTCTTATCAGTTTAATATCTGATACGTGGGCCATCGGCCCACATGATATTAAATTAATTTTTAATGGGGGAGAGCTTGTTACAGCAGCTTGCTGCTCTGGGGCTCTCGAGCGTCGCCCAAGTCTTGCACTACTGCCTGGGCCTGGCGCACCCCTCCAATTCCAGTTTTAAATTTTATGGATTTTTATTTTTTCTGTAATTATTTGTTTTCCAATATTACAAAACAAAACTTCATTTTCTTCGAGTAATTTAGACTGAAACTTTAATTACATTAGTAATTTATGGGGTCAATTTTGGACTTGAATAAATTTAGTATATGATTGCTTATATATTATGAAAATATATAAGTAGGTCCAGATTACCCCTATTATGAATATATTACAAAAATATATAAGATCGGTGTAATTAGCTAACTTAATTAAAGATAATTATTATGAAAATTGATTAAAGTTAAGACTAGTAAACTTAATTAAAGTTAATTATTATGAAAATTGATTAAAGTTAAGATTTAGAATAATTAAAGTTAAATAAAAAGTGTAATTAATTAATTTAACTAAAGTTAATTGTATAAATAATTGAAGTCAATTAAAGAGTGTAATTAATTCATTTAATTTAAGTTAATTAAACAGTATAATTAATTAATTTTAAATCAGTTTAGTTAATTTTGAGATAATTGGACCTTTAATTAGGTTTATTAGAAGTTAATCATTTAAAAAAAAATATTCAAATTAATAATTTCATATATTAGATTTATTAAAATGAAAAGAGAAAAAAAGATGTATTTATTATATTTAGTACCTTGAATATTAAAAAAAATAAAAAGGGAAAAAATATTTAATAAATTTAATACCTTAAATATTAAAATAATTAATGTACTTAAATAGAATATATTTAAAATTTGAATATTATATATATTAAAATATTTTATGATATTTAAATATGATTCAAAGAAAAATTATATTTTAATATATTAGGTATTAAAATGTATTGTTTTAAATTTAGAAAATATTATCTTATAAAATAGTTTAGAGTGTTTATAAATTGGATTGGATCGGGTTTGAAGATGTTTTAGACTGAATCTAATTATTTGAGTGCTAATTTTTTAGTTTTTTTATTTATTCAAAATTTGATTTTTAATAAAAATAAAATGTTAATTTGTAAAAAAATATTTATTTATTTATTTTTAATCATTTAGTTAAAATTTAAAACTTAAATCTAGAAAAATAACTTTTTGAATAGTTAAAATTTATTTACAAGACGAGTTAGAAAATAAATAATCAATAAAACAATTATGAATAAAATAAATAAATAGCGTATAATCAATAATGTGTATATTTTAAAATTAAAATAATTTAAGGTGATTTGGTTCAATCCAATATAGTTGTACGAGAATCCAAACCAATTAAATTCATAAAAATTTCATTTATTTGAACTCAACCAAACCGTACAAGTTAAGTTGGGTTGGTCGAATTTTTCGAGTTACGGAACACCGTTATTGTCTAATTTTATTTAAAAATTAAAATCAATTAGATTGAGGGTTAAATCCATCCCTTTAAAATAAAACCAATAAAAACTTTTAAACAATAAAAATGGAATTTAAAAAAAATATATTAAACTCGTATATTGAATATCATATAATTCATAACTGCATACTTACGTTAAGAAAAAAATAATAATATAGCACGTTCATAATCGAGAATCACGAGAGCGATTTTTTAACACGGTTATACATTTTGATGGCTAGAATCAAAATATGATACAAATTGGAGGACTAAGGTGCAAATTATGATACAAATTGGAGGACTAATGTGCAAGACCACATTTTAGTTTAAGTTTATTTCTTCCACCCCCTCCCCCATTTTCTTTCAACTTTCCCCCCCTCAAGTTCCCTAAATTACTTAAATATCTTAAGAAAATAAACCTTTACATATATAAAAAAAACAACCCATTTAACACACAATATTATAAAGCTCTAAAAGAAAAAGCATATCAAACTAAACCCTAAATTAATATATATATTTGATAAAACCCTAAAGACAAAAAAAAAAAAAAAAAAAAAAAA